TGTTTTTAATCCAACCGCAATTGGACTCTTCGGAATAATCTCTCGCATTTTCTTCCTCCTCCTCCTCCTCCTCTCTCTCTCTCTCTCTCTCTCTCTCTCTCTCTCTCTCTCTCTATCATGTAACAATTATGCTGTGCACTAAAAACACGATGCTTCCCGGCGTAAATGAATGTCGCCACATTCAACGTATCGCATGTTCGCGCGCATGAACGGCACGCACGCGTTTTGTCGAACGAAACGTAATATAGCGCGAACGCTTCGGAAGGTGGAATATCAGCTCGATCTGACGCGCGTGCTTTAATTGAGCATCGTCCTTCGGTACGTCCTAGTACACGCGCGAATACGCAGGCATAACCCCGGTGTCTCCGGGGTGTTCCGGATCGATTTTTGCTTCGGTGGCATTTTTTACGAGCAGGAATAATCGTGAGGACGTGGGGACAATTTATTGATTTACGTTGCTTTCTTTGCTTTCAGGCGAGGAGTACAAAAGAGATTCTCACGGAATGTGTCCAGCCCCGAGAAATCGGGACGAACTCTCTAACAGGATCCCGGTCGAAGTTTCAGTTCTATATTAATCCTGCGAATGTATCAAACTTGCTGGATTAATGGAGAGAATATCTCAAGAGATAACACTGTGCAAACTGTTGTCCTACCTTGATACTGCAAAGCAGCTGCGCTTTATTGCTTTTTTCTCCGCACGTTAAGGCGTCTTTGAGAAAAGTCACTCGCGAATTATTTAAGTACTCGAGTATCTCAATGTTCTACTTGCACTTAACTTTTGTCCTTCATTTCAAAAAGCAACGTATATTGTTATACGTACACGTGCAACTGCAGATGGAACGGAATGGTTCGACGAGCGATTGTTAGACGATTGACGCGAGTAAACAATGGGGATTAATGGGTACATAATACACAGCAAGCTTTCTACTTTTATCTTTCAAGGTAACTGTTGTATGAACAACAATAACGATTTAAATTTGTGTTTGGTACAAAAGCGAGAAGCGGGAAGACTATTGTTGGCAAGTTCAAGGTGAAAGGCGTGTTATTAGAGAAACAAATATATCAGCGTCTGTGGAAATCTGCATCGGCGGGAAATGAGACCGATATTCGAAGTTGTAAATTATTTATGATCTTTGATTGACAACACAATTAATTACAGATTCGTATTTACGGGCCGTTGTTCAACTGTTTGGATCGATATGCCTTGTTATATGAAATAAATATAGGCTGGCAAGTAATCAGAAATTCATGAAGTTATGATTATTTATCAAACGATGACGGCCTCTAATCGCCGGCCTTAGAATGGATTCTAAATTTCGACTCGGGTATTTCCCTCTCGACGAGTTCGTCGATCGCCCGTTGTAGTCGAACGCGTTTCGCGCGATAATCATGTAATTTTACGCACAATGTATGATATTTCGCTGCCCATGTCCCCGCGTCCTGCATTCTCACTCGTCCTGGTTGCAGTGGTTTGGCACGCTCACTGGTGCTAACGCTGGCGCAGATGCAGCGCGGCCGAAGAAAAACGCGTGTTAATTAATGCGATGTCGACGCGTCAACCCGAATAAATATTTTAATAGCCGGCGGAATATATTTCGACCAGCCGAAGGGCACTGCGGAAAACCGCACCGCGTCGTGTTACGGGCGTTGCTCGTCGGCTCGAGATGTAACCGTTCGTACACAGGAAGGACTCGTAAGCGAGACGAACACGAGTACCTCAAAACAACGAATACCTTCGCGAGAGAGATAATATTACGTCCCACCAATCGCGAGCTCTTATGTCGCCCGCCAATCAATGACGAGCACATTCGACGCCGGAAATATCACGACATCAACGGCTTTCGAAGTATCCCGAACGCGCAAGACGGTCAAATTGTCAAATGGTTCGAATGGTCACAATGCAGGCGTCAATCGTCATTAACAACCCATTTGACTCGTTATTTTATGCGTAGGACCATTGAATGCTTGGCTCCAGGATGGCGCGCAGGACGCCGGACGCAACGACGACCGGCGACGGGAATCACAACTTTGTTTTGTACCTTTTTCGATCTTCGAGTCCTATCGGAGTTTCTAACGCTAATAGAAAATGGCAATAAAAAGATTCTGGAAGGAGAAAGTTGACCGCTTTGTTCATTCACTCTTCGATATTTGCTCATCGCACATATTCTATTTGCGGTTGAGCAAGTTGCACAATTGATATTCATGTTCGAATCAAGAATCAACATCAAAGGCAGGTAGATTATTGAGGTAACCGAATGTGTTAAATGATTTCTAAACAAGCCGCCGTCCTTGGAGTCTCAATAAACGATAAACAGCGGTAAGCAGTAATGTTTAGCGTCAAGGGACAACAAGTTGGTGCAGTTTTACACCGCGAGAGATACTTTGCTAGCACTTTAAACTCGACGGAATCCGCAAGCTTAATCGTAGTAGAAGCAACATTTCCCGATTCGGGAAATCGGTTAGAATTCTCACGGTTGCGTGAGCGGCGTATTTTGAAACAAGCATGGCTTAAATTCTCATCGGTTCTCATCGGGTGATCCGCGAATTCGCATCGTTGATTTTGTACACGGCGCGAGTTCGACCTCCCCAGAGACATGTCACGCGTTTTGAGCTTGCAAAATATTCTTCGACATATTGCGAGGAAATAAGATTCTTCCCCCGAGCATTATGCCGAAGACCACCCTCTTACCGAGACAATGATTACGGTCAAGTATGCCTTTCCCACACATAACCAATTTCTCCTTCACTGGGCGCGCGCACACACACACACACACATACACGTACGTATATCGCCTCTTCCCAATACGAGCTTTGAAATCGATCGGCACAAAAACGCACTCCACCCACGAAGTGCGTTCACTCGAAAGATCCTACATCGTTCGGTTTTGCCAGCGCGAAATACCAACGTCTCGAAGACGCACTGTGCGCCGATTGACTGGAATTGCAGATTAAGTGCATACTGTGGTGTTCGACTCTCTTTCTTTCTCTCTTTCGCTCTCGCCTCGACCGATAACCTTGCGAGACGAAACGCAGACGAGGAAAAAAGGTCGCACCCGCGCTCGACGCCGACAACTTCATTTGCGGCTGAGAGACGCGCGACAAAACTCGCAGCGCGTTGCCCGTTGACGTCCACTACGCGAGTTATTTTGCGCGTAACACGCTGAATGTTGTCTAAACAGCTGGATCTCCCCCATAATGTAAAGTTTCCGCGGTTGCGTTAAAGTCCAGGGACGTATCGTCCCGGCTTTGTGCAGCGCGGTAAGGCACTCTCTTCCGCGACAGGTCAAAGAAACTCCAACGTGGAGGAGCTCGGTACCTGTGACGTCTCTGACGACCTTGAGTGCGAGGCTTCCTCCGCTTATGAATCCGTCCTGCCGCTCTGTGTGCGAGACTCCATTATCAGAATAAACACTAGACAACGCACTGAATTCACGCCCCGCGAACACTAGCCGAATCTAGCCCGACGACTTCCTACGCCTCGTTAGCGCACCACACGTATGCGAAAACGACGGCGAATGGCGTCCATTGTTTCCGATTGTCGATCCGCGCGCCGTAATAAATCAATGTGTCGCGGGTAAGGCCTTGTGTTTCTCGATCTGTCGCTTTCTCTTTTGTCGAAGCTTTTTTATCTTTCTTGCGATGGTGCGATGATAGGTTACGCTTTGAGCCAGAGAGACGGACTTAATCTAGTCTCTGCCCGTCCGCCGTCGTACGTGGCATTGAATCGCGAAAATTGCGAGAGTGAAGAATGGACACGGAGGGTGGGGGACTGCGTTTGTAATTACGAATAATAATGGAAAAGAAGAGAAGTATCTCGTGGTCTCGCAGAGAGACGACGCCGTCGTGAGGGAATCGATGTATCCGCCGATATCTCTTTCTTGGCTTACATGACGTATGAAGTAGGCGGGTCAATCCTGCGTTTCCTCAACTATGACTGATGCCGTTCGAGCGGCACTAAGGAACCAGCAATCCCGTTCGCGGCGAGAGAGTCGAACAAAAATTCACAAAGACGCTCGATAACCGTGCGCCACTCGTCACAAGTGAAGTATCACACACAGCAGTTTGATGTAAAAGTATTCATCGCGATTGAATCGCGCGGCTGAAATAGCGTCGCTAAAACTGCTCCTCCGTGATTCAAGTTTCAGCGGTATTGTTCGTAAATTCCGAATCTGGCGGAATCTACTCAAATCTACTCTCGATCTGCCGACGTGACGTGACGTATTAATCGTGAGATGAAACTTGCAGGGGAGCAACTCCCTATCGGCGCTAAATCAGGCGCAGCCTGGACATCCGTTCGTCATGAAAGTTCCGTGAATTGGTCAAGGTCGCGACTCTTGACCACGCCGTCTGCTCAAGGTTCGCCCGTTGATCTCGCCGCGAAACGCAAAATGCAAAAACCGCGGGCAAGAAAAAAAGTGAACGTGGCAATGTCCGTCCACGAGACAAAACACCGCCCACGAGCAGTCGTGCGAGTAGGTGAAGTCACGCGAGACGCTATGCTCCTCCATGAAATATAAAGTCACGGTAGTAGTAGTGTAAGGGGTGAAGGGAGAGAGGCAGAGGAAGAGAGTGAGTGAGAGAGAAAGAGAGGAGACACGATGTGTAAGTACGCGCGTGTAAAGAGGCGGAAGAGAATGAAGGAAGAGAGAGAGAGGGAGAGAGAGAGAGAGAGAGAGAGAGAGAGAGAGAGAGAGAGAGAGAGAGAGAGAGAGAGAGAGAGAGAGAGAGAGAGAAGACGAAGCAAAAGATATAGAGAAAGGTATAGAAGGGTTTAGTAGGGAAAGACAGAGATGGAAGGACAGCGGTATAACAATCGCGCGTATCTATGTGAGTGATGGATGGAAAGAGACACGATACGATGCCGGAGCCGTGAGAGTGAGAGGGAAATCGTACAACAAGACAGACTAGTCGATCGGTGTAAAAGTAGACAGAGACAGGGTCAGACATTTTCCTAGTTCGCGCGGTATACGCTGTCTCGCGCGTATACATTCCGTACATACCGAGGGCATCAGCTGATCGGTAGACCTCACCCGGGTCACTCTGTTTCTGTAGATTATTCTCTTGACGAACCTCTCCGTCTGCTGGTTCCACTTCATAAAGCTTACATATCCCAAGTAGAATCCAAACAGCACGAGCGCCTCGTACCAGTGTATGTGACTGTCGCGGAAGAAGTAGATCAGGGTGAGCAGACTGACGCTGTAGAAGGTGCAGTCGCGGAACAGAGGCCACCATGTGAGTGACAGTACCGTACGCGAGAATATAGCGCACATGCCGATGACGAAGAGGATGTTGAAGACGGCGGAACCGACGATAGTGCCGATACCGACGTCATCGAACGACACGAACACGCCTATGATCGATGTGAAGAGTTCGGGCGCCGATCCACCGGCCGCCATGAAGGTGGCACCGGCCACATCGTCGGCGATCTCGAATTTCTCGATGATCACGTCCAACGACGGCACGAAGAACTCGTCGCAGACGATCGCTAGCGCGACGAACATGTACACTACGCCGAGTATGTGGAGTATCACGGCGCCACGGCGCCGTTGGTCAGTGGTGAACAGATCGTCGGGGAAGAGCGGCCTCTTCACGTCCGTGGCGTTATCATTAGTCCTATTGTGACCATCGTGACTCGCGGCGTTCAATCCGCCGTTGTTGTTGTTGTTGTTGTTGTTGTTGTTGTTGTTGCTGCCGCTGCCGATGCTGTTATTACGATCATACACAGGCACACCGTTGTTGTCCAGCCGCACCACGACCGGCAGCAGCGTGCTGGTGGTGTGAAGTATAATCGGGTTGCTCGGCGCCGGTCTGTGGCCCCAGGACGACGAGGGACCCATCGCGAACGCCAAAACCGTCGAGAACACAGCCACCACCGCCAATCGGCGCCTCCGTCTCCAACACGTACGTCGATCGCCGCCCGTCGCGATCATCGTCGTCGTCGGCGGTGGTGCTGCTGTTGGTTCGCACCCTCGAGGACGTTCGCCGTCGTTAGCCAGGCCTCCGTCCTCCTCCTCCTTCTCCTTCGCCTCCTTCTTCTTCTTCTCCGTCCTCCTCGGCGTCCTCCACCCTCTCCCTGGCCCCCACCTCCCCCTCCTTTTCTTCCTCCTGCGCCAGCACCACCTCCGACTCTTCCACCACCTTCTTCTACGTGTCGTATCGTGCCGCGCCGCGGAGGGTGTACGACAGGAGAGCCGTACTAAGGCTGGGTCATGCTGGAGCGATGAGGAGCGGCTCCTTTGCCGATGTCTCCCTCTGGAGATGGACCTACCTGCCTGACCGCGGTATTACTACGTATCCTCCTCCGGCTATTTTCCCTCTTTCCTTTGGCCCGCACTGCGTCTTGCCCTCCACGTCGCGCGCGTTCCGAACAACTTTTTTCACTGGGACTTTGTTCACCGACGTTACGGACCGAGAGTATTAGTCCGCGGCGCGTATTATATTACGGTTACTACGATTACTACTAACAACATTGATGTTGCCGCTACTACGAACAGGCTCGGGTATCTGAAGCGACCAATATCCTCCTGCTTCCTGGCAGCGCGCTCGTATTTGTCTTCTTCGTCGTCGTGATCGTCGTGTACGTCGTGGGTGCCGTGCTTGTCGTTTTCGTCGTGATGATGTTGATGGTGATGGCTATCGTCGTCGTGGTTATCGTTGTCGTCGTCGTGGTCGCCGTCGCCGTCGTCGTCGCCGTCGCCGTCGTCGTCGTCGTCGTCGCCGTCGTCGTCGCCGTCGTCGTCGTCGTCGTCGCCGTCGCCGTCGTCGTCGTCGTCGCCGTCGCCGTCGTGGTCGCTAGGATGCGGTGGATGGTGCATATAACCCTGAATGGATATACAGGAGCAGCAGAACGGCGCCCCCGCCGCGATGCCCGCCCGCTGCACACTGGAACAACCCTGTTCCGTTCCGTTCCTCTCTCTCGCTTTTCACTCTCTCCCCCTCTCTTGCCGCCGACGTTGCACCGACTCCCTCCTTCTATCTCTTTCTCCCACCGTGTTTCACTCCTTTAGTCTCTTCTTTCCTCCGCCGTGATCTCTCTCTTTCTCACTCTCTCTCCCTCTCTCTCCCCCTCTCTCTCTCTCTCTCTCTCTCTCTCTCTGTCTCTCTCTCTTGCTCTTTCAGTGGTCTTCCATGCTCCATCTCGGTCGCCGACGACTCCCCTTTCGATCCTCTTTGCGATATAAAGAGATACCTCTTTCTCTTTCTCTCTTCCACTCGTATCTCTTCCGTCTATCGTCGATCTTGAGGCACCCCGAGTCTGTCCTCGTTGCACCTAGCGATCGCCGACGACTCTCTGTCTTCTTTTCCCAGCAGGTACCTCCTGCGTCTCTCTCTCTCTCTCTCTCTCTCTCTCTCTCTCTCTCTCTCTCTCTCTTTCTCTGTTCCACCACCGGCATCTAGTATGCCGCGAACAGAGAGAGAGAGAGAGAGAGAGAGAGAGAGAGAGAGAGAGAGAGAGAGAGAACGAGACCGCTCTCCTCTACTTTCTTCCTTCCTCTTTTCCGTTTTCTTCTCTCCTTCCCTTCCTCTCTCACCCTCTCCATCCATCTCTCTCCATTCGTCGCTCGGCGTTCTCCACCCTATATTCCTCTCCTCTCCTCTCGTTTACCCTCGTCCTTTTCCCTCTCTTTCATCCCGACATCGTCCACCTCTGTTCACGACATCCTCTCCGTCCTCCTCTCCCGTGTGTGCGGGAGCTTTCCGTTTCCTCGCTTCTCGTTAGCCGTCACCCCGCGTTCCTCTCTTTTGCGCCACGACCCCCGCCGTAGCGGCCCACCCAACCCCAACCCCGCCGAAATCGCGTGCCCCCCCGGACCGTCGTCCTTCTCGCTTCGCGACGACCCGTCGCCCTGAATTCTTCTCTCTTCCACTCGCCGCGACACCCGCGCGTACCTCCCTTGCGTAGTATCTACCATGGAGGTGGTAGGTCGTGGAGGTGGGAGCCTGCGCACGTGCGAGCACCCCTCGCCGGGCCTCCCGCTCGATATCGGAGAGTCGACTCTACAACTCCACGTTACGAATGTACGTATAACGGGTGTCACCCGGATTCCAGCCGTCGCCGGCGCGGCGTACGCGCGCCTGTCTTCGCCAGTCAGCATCGCCTGCTCCTTCTCAAGGATCACGCTGCGGAGAAGAGACACGTCCCGGTGGCCGGCTGGACACCGGGTATCCGGCGGCGGCGGGTAGCCGGCAGGCGCACAGACAGAGGTGACTCTCGTCGCTTCTCTCGTCCGGTCAAGCGACGACGAGACGAATTGCCGGACTTGAAAATCGGAATCGCCGGAAGCGGAGGCGCGAGTTTTATTTCCGGCGCGTGTCTTTCCACCTGAAGACGACCACCACCAGTGAAGCTCAAACGGCGGAATACAGACGGAAGTCATCGGGTACGCTCGAGGACCTTGGGACAGTCTCGTTTGCCCTCGGAAAACTGCTCGAAATAATCGATGCGGCGCCATCGGCCGCTCGCGCGCGGTGCCTTTGCTCTCTTTCAGAGATTTGTCTGCCATGTAATCTTCTTTCTTTTTTTTTCTCCCACAGCGGCCTGCTTGAAACCTACTTATCCTGCTACTTTACACGAAGTGTACACACTTTCGTCAGGTTTCTTGCCAGAGACGGCTGGAATTTATCAGCTGGAATTTTCCCCTCTTACTGTACTCTAATGACATCGGATACACGTCGTTGATGTTCTCCTTCGCGCATTCGCTTTCGAAAAATATATTGTCTCACCCTGGAAAATTCTCTTTCCGCTGATTTCCTTGATATACCGTCTCCAAGACGTTGCGCCGTTACGGCGTTCCCCTGCAAGGTTAATCCACAGATGGAATTTATCCCCGAGCGCGTTCGCGCGCGTTGAGCGCGATGATTTCACATGCTCGAGGTATCCTCGAGTAATCGCGGGTCGCGGCGGTTGGCCGATGATATGGCGATGAATATCGCGTGCAATCAGCGATTTATTCGCCGGCACTCGCCACCCGCTCCGTACGTTATACTTCGAATCGCGGGGCGATTAATTACCCCCTTGGTGCCGTTTCAACTCGGAGTATCTCGAAGAAATTCCTCTTCTCCTTCGGGGGAATCATCTTCGGAAGTCATCGTCGAGGAGTATCCACGACGTTTGTCGTCCGGCGTATACGCGCACGACTCCAACGTAAGCGCATTAACCGACGTTATTGAGTATAGCGGCCCTTTAAGCTCCGACTGTTTCTTGCGTCCATCTGAGCGACAATAAGCGCTGTCGGATTTTCCTCTATTATTCCATGCCGTCACTTTAAAGTTACGCCGCCTCCCCCGCCGCGCCGCCGCCTGTCGTAGCCAATTCCTAGCCGCCGGGTATCCTACTTAGTTCCAAGTTTCTAGCCTAGAAAGTGTTCTCAAATAGGAGCACTCGCCGCGACACGCAACGGCAGGCGAGTCGTGTCCTGCGGAAGCACGCAACGGAGATCGCGCACCCCCCTCCCCTCTCATACATACAAGCCCCCGTGTGGCCCCTGCCTTCGGCTGTTACCGGCGACGTAAACCAACAACAAGCTGATACAATCGCAGCGAAAGAGCCGCGGATATATACTGAGAGTGGATAAATCTCCATTATATTCCTTTATCGTCCTTTGGCATTGGCCGAAGAGCGATCGGCCGATCGCGCCGATAAAGTGCGCAAACGGACGTCCACGCGCTGTGTGTGGGCGAAAGGGAGGACAGCTTCAGTGCGCGACAATCGCATTCCGCCGTCACCGTCGTCAGATTGACCCTCTGTGCAAATCATCTCTATTTATTCTCGCAATAAAGTAAAATATTCGCACTCCCTTTGAAGGAAGAGTCCTCCGTCCGCGCGTTTCTCGCGCGGTGCCGCCTTAATCGCCGCGGAGTCGAGGGCAGCGAAACGGCCACGTCGTCTACGCGAACAAGCAGTCTTCGGCGATTCTTAGCGAACTCGGCGCGCGAGTATTCATTATCGTTCTACGCGGAGTAGCGCTGTCAAACGCCACTTTGGAGACACGCAGCGCCGCCGTGCTGACGTCTTCGAGTCCGACGGGGCATATTTTATGAAACTTTAATATTGAGCAACTACAAACTTGCAGTAGAGAAATGTCGATAATGCCGCGCCAAAAAAAAAGTGCAAATCGCTCGCTGCGATTTGCCATCGCGCGAGCAGTTCACTCTTAAAAGCTACCATCAAACATCACCCCCCAAGCTAATTTTTCTTGTTGTTGTTTATCAATCAAAATATACGCGAGAATTGGTCTGTTTTGTCACGACGTTGTCACTACTGATAGCGTGAATAAATATCTACATATAAAATTAGTATCGCCAGTGTGGTTACATTTTTTGATAAGGTCAAAAATTCGCATGGGGTGAAATTTCACCCATGGTAGCCTTTGAGGGTTAAGGGGCGAGCACACTCGCACACGAGCATATGCGAAGCTTCTATCAACCAGCGCTCTGTCAGTCGCTTATTAATTGCGACGGAGCGCAATTTTCGACCGTAGCGACTCTCCGCGAACACAAGAGGCCGAGCGAATGAACGAGTGAGCGAGCGAATAAACGAGCGAAGGGAGGAAGGAAGGAAGGAAGGAAGGAAGGAAGGAGTTGTCGCGAAGAGAGTGAGAGAGAGAGAGAGAGAGAGAGAGAGAGAGAACTTTGTCCCGAGGCACGTGCGAATGTAACGCAGTCCGAGCCGGCGCCCTCTCACACGACACCCCCCTTGCCCCGCAAGCTAGCTTTATTCTCGCCAGTGTCGCTCTTAAACCCACTTCGTTACGCCCTAGAGGTCGTTACAGCTATTAGCGGTTGTCGACGGGACTTTCGAGCTTTCGCCTTGTCTTTCCGCTCGCATCCGGCTTCCGGTCGGCGAAAGACTCGCGGGAAGGGTACAATTTGCGAACGTCATTTTACGCTCGACTCGGCGTGCCGGAGTCTCCGGGAACTCGCTTAGAGACAGCAGGACAGGCGGGACGAGAGGGGAGAGAATTGCTCGTTGTTGAGTGATCCAGCGTGAAACACGATCGTACATTTGTGTATGGGAGCGTCGGTGCGCGCGCGCGTTAATTATGAAATAT